GCTGTTTCCTTCTTTGATATACCAACTCAGGTGGCACAGTCTTCCATATCTCTGGTGTACTTGATGTATTAGTCACAAGAGGATCAGTCACATAAGGATCACTCACAGGAGGATCAGACATAGAAGGAATAGGAACAAGAGGAGGAGACACTGACACAGGAAAATGAGTAGACACTAAAGATTCAAACTCAAAGAAGGAAGGTGATGAGTTTTCTGGTGAATTATTCTCCCCCTGAAGACGAGTACCTTGGAAAAAGGACTTAGATTCCTGAAAATGTAACATCCATAGAAACAAAAAAATTTCAACTACCAGGGTGATAGCACTTGTAGCCCTTCTTATTATCAGGAACATAACCAAGGAAGACACATTTTAGAGCCCTAGGGTCCAACTTACTGTCATGATGTTTATGAACATGAACAAAAGCGACACACCCAAACACTCGTGGAGGAAGACTCATAGTTGGAATATAAGGGGAAAAAGAAGTTATAGAGTGAATAGGACTTACATGGTCTAGTACCCGAATGGGTAAACGGTTGATCAAGAATGCTGCAGTAATAATGACATCTCCCCAATAGTATTTGGGTACATATGTCAGAAACATTAATGCACGAGCCACTTCAAGAAGGTGACGATTCTTTCTTTCAGCAACCCCATTCTGTTGAGGGGTGTCAACACAAGTAAGTTCATGAAGCATACCGTTATTCCGTATAAATTGGGGAAAACAGTGATTAACATATTGAGTACCATTATCAGTCCTTAGTCGCTTGATTTTTTTACCAAATTGGGTCTAAACCATTTTATAAAATTGAAAAAATATTTGTGGTACCTCAGACTTTTCACGCATTAAGTAAATCCAAGTTATACGAGTGTAATCATCAATAAAAGAAACAAACCATTTATTTCCAGAAGAATGAGGGATCTTAGAAGGACCCCAAACATCAGAATGAATAAGATCAAAAGATTCAAAACTTTTAGTAATACTAGAAGGAAAAGACACACGATGATGCTTAGCAAACTCACAAACATCACAATGAAAAGACTCAACAGACTTAGACAAAAACAATGAGGGAAATAAAGACTTGAGTAAACTAAATGGAGGATGTCCTAAGCGCTTATGATGAAGCCAAATTAAGGAATCAGCAATTGATTGACCATGAGACAGCAATATGTGATCCGTTACTTTATTGGCCGGAGATTATGACACCAGATAGTACAGCCCACCTTGCTCTTTAGCACTACCCATCGTCTTCCCCGTGGCGAGATCTTGAAAAACACAGTGAGTAGGGAAGAAGGTTACAGTACAATTCAAATCTTTTGTAATTTTATGAATAGAAAGAAGATTCGTGGAGAGTTTAGGAACACGAAGAACATCTTTAAGATGTAAGGACTGTTACCAGAACCTGCAACTGATGTATGTGAGCCATCAGCTACGGCTATTGTATGAGTTCCAATGGTAGGATGATAAGAAGTAAAGGGGTCAGCACAACAAGACATGTGATCAGTAACACCAGAGTCAACAACCCAAGAATGTTTAAAATCAGTACATGAAGAAAGAAAAGAATAAGTTTTGGAGCTCATACCAGTCATAGCCAAAGCATTAGTATCAGATGGCTTACTCAGAGAGTCAAGGATGGTTCAGAGCCGTTCCAACTCATCTTGACGGAATGCAGGTTGGGTCTCATTAGGTGCAGGAGCTATTTCAGAGGAAGTAAAATGCGCTTGACCATGCATCCTTGCCATCTTTTCTAAGATCGTTTGCTTTCTATGGAGGCGAAAGCATAGATCCTTGATATGACCCGTTCTTTTACAATAAGAACACCAGCGATCATCTTTCTTAGGTCTAGAAGATGCACCATCAGAAAATTTTGTAAAGGAATTCCTTTGAGAAGAACCATCCTTTTTTGTTGAAATCATAGCAGACCCATCAGTGGGATTAGAATCAGATGGAGTTGGAGTAATAACTTTAGATGAGAGCATAATGGACCTTTCAAACACTTTGGTATCCATCATGACAGCCCTGCGACTTTCTTCACCCCTGACAATGTGAAAAACTTCAGAAAGAGACGGTAATTTTTCCTTACCAAGAATTTGAACTCGAATAGGGTCATATTCTGAGTTGAGACCACAAAGAAAATCGTAGATCCTATGGCGTTCAATGGAGGTGGTCAGAGTGGCTGCATCCTTGCTGCATTCCATCTTCAAATTCTCGTACTGATCAAGCTCAGTCCATAACTTATTCATAATACCATAATATTATGTTATAGAAAGATAGCCTTGCTTGGTAGAAAAAAGCCGATTCCTCAGATCATAACAAGTGACAACATCTTGCTTCATTGAATAGGTCTGCTTAAGAACGTTCCAGATCTCAAGAGCAGTAGGTAAAAACATGCAATGTTGACTAACTTCAGGAGTCATAGAGTTCCATAGCCACATCATAATAAGTGAGTCTTCATCATCCCAATCAGCAAATGTTGGATCTGTTTTGGCAGGAACATGTCCTTCAAAATGAGAAACTTTACGGCGTCCTTTGAGAATGGTACGAACAACCAGGGACCATTGTAAATAATTCTTTCCATTCAGACGATAATTCTGATGAAGAGCAGGAAGATCATTGTGACCAAGAGGGGTCACCACAGACTGTGTAGAAGAATTTGTAGTTGTGTTTGCAAGGGTTGACTCAGTGTCGGAGGCCATACTGCAAAAAACTAGTCAAAGAATAGCACCAAGAAGCCAAAAAATACAGAACAAATACCAAACGACGTCCGATCAGAGGGGAAGCACAGATCCAAGTAGAGGAGAAAGAGACGATCACCGCTGCTTTTGGTCGGAACCTAAAAAAAACACTGCCACGCGCTGGTGGAGTTGTCGGCGAGTGGGATTCACGCACAGAGAGAGAGAGAGAGAGAGAGACGACGCGTGAGAGCGTATGCGACGTTGGCTGGAGCTGGGCTTTCCACCGTGAGGTCGTCTGGAGGTAGCGGTCCCGTCTGTGGTTGGTCGGAGTTGAAAGGCCGCCGGAAAAAGGTCAAAACGCGATAAACAGGTTGCTGCTTTGTTGAAACGCGATGAACAGTGAGGAAAAAGAATCTGGTGTCTGTCGGTGTTGTTTTGCTACTGAGTGAAGAGGAAAAAAAGAGGAACAGTGAACTTCTCGGTCCAAGAGGTCCCCGGAAAAAAAAAATTCCAGTGGCGGCTGATGGCAGCGAGAGACGAAAAAAGAATAAAAGGCTGATGGCAGAATTAATTCAAGGATTATGACCTGATTGAGTTGCTGGCTATATAAAGGAAGCAGAAACTCTAAAAGAAAATCATCTTTTGGCAAGGAGAAATTGGAGAGGAAGCTCTCGGTGACTGAAGATTCAAGACTTCTTCTTCTTCTTTCGGTTTTACATTTTCATGAACTCTTTCTCATTATTTAAATTTTCAGACATGAATATGTCTGACTAGTCTTTTATTATTGTGGTAAGGGTCACAATCCTTGATGTGAACCCCTTGTAGTTTGGTTAATTTTTATATTTAATTATTTCAATTGCATTTATTTTACCTTGTTCTTCATCTTCTAATTCTTCTAGAACTGATCACTCTATTAGGATTGCGAGGGTTAGGGTTTTCAATAAGAATATTGAGATTCTAATTCCTGACAAAGGGTAAAATAACAATTCATGTATGCACTAGGGATAGGCTACATGAACTGCAAACGTGAAAAATTCACTGGGTTAAAGGATTAACTTGAAAAAGGATTTCTAAGGGATTAGGATTCTAATAGGGTTAATAACGTTAAGATCACTAAGGGATTAGGGCTTAACTAATTAATTATTAGATGGTGAATTGTTTGATCAATTGGGTAATTAAATATAAACATTAATCAATATTACAAGGTGGGGATCGGAAAGGTGTTAGAGTCCTTACTGCAATAGCTTTTTACAATATTTTTCTCAAAAACTTTTTTTTTTTAGTATATAAAAACCTTTTATTTTAAATTCTTCAAATTTCTCTCTGAATTGTTCATAAATTATTAAATAGTTCACAATTGTTACAAACACCATTACTTTCAAACCAACTCTTGTTCATTCATTCTTAAAAGGAACAATTAATTGATATTCGACCCAATCCCTGTGGAGGCGATACTTTACTTACTATTATATTACTTGTGCGATCGGTACACTTGCTGATTTTTCGCAACAAGTTTTTGGCGCCGTTGCCCGGGATTGGCGTATCTTATATCAATTGTTTTTTATTTTAAGATTGGATTTTTATTTTTATTTTTAAACTTTTTGTGATATTTGGAACAAGTGCTACTAATCTCTTTTCTAAGTTGTATGCGAGGTAAAGAGCCCGAGTTTCCACTTGATTTAGAGATCACAAAAACAGAGAAGAAAAACAGAAAATTTGCTCGGAAGAAGCTTGCATTCAACGAGTTAGATATTATGTCTGAAGAAACACACATCATGGCAGGGAACAATGAAGAAGACAATCCACTCATGGACACCATCCTGACGCCACTATTTAACAGGCCCAATTCAAGTATTGTCCATCCTGAAGTGGGCAACAATAATTGGGAGCTCAAGTCTGATAATATTCTCTGGTGGAGAGAGCTCAGTTTGGTGGAGAGGATGATGAAGACCCTCATAGGTTTGTAAACCGATTCCTGATGATCTGTGACTCGACCAAGCATCTTCAAGTGTCCAATGATGCAATCCGGTTAAGGATGTTCCCTTTTGCTCTTAAAGGAAAAGCTTTGAATTGGTTGGAGAGGCAACCTGCAAGAAGTATTCCCTCATGGGAGAATTTATCAAACAAGTTCTTTGTTGAATTCTTCTCAATGGAGAGGTACAATCAAATGGTGAATGATATCACCAATTTCACTCAAGCTGAGGGTGAAACTATGTGTGCAGCCTGGAACCGCTTCAAAGATCTAATGAGGAGGTGTCCTCATTACCCCATAACCAATGGTGATCAGGTCCGGATCTTCTTCAACGGTTGTAAACCGGATCTCCGGATGGTCCTGAATGGTGCAGCAGGTGGTAGCATCAAATCGATGAGAGCAAATGAGACTCTTGCATTGATTGAAAGAATGGCTGCCAATGAAAATGAAGGGTTGTCATCTAAGCCTAAGAGAGGTATTCTTCACCTGGACAATAATGATGCAGTGCTAGCTAAAAATAAATTGTTATCACAGCAAATGGCAAATCTAACATCGAGGCTTGACAAGATGCAACTCTCTAGTGTCCAAGCCTAAGCTGCTTCAGTAGTTTGTGAGTACTGCAAGGGTGACCATGAATCCAATGACTGTTCATCTATATTATCTTCTGCCTCCCCTCAACAAGTGCAGGTGAATGGGGTATGGTATGATCAAAGATCTCCGCCACGAAACAGTCTGAGGAATCAAAATTTCCCTTCTGGAAATAGCAATTTTCAGAGGAGAGGTTAAGGAGGTGTTCTTGATTATAGTTCTAACAATTATCTACAGCCTCCACCAATTCCAGCTAAGGAACCTTCTGATTTAGAGAAGCTAGTAGGACAAATGGCCCAACATTCTAATGCGTTTATGGAAGAGACTCGGGCAAACACTAAAAACACACAAGCTTCCATCAGAAATTTGGAGAGTCAGATAGGCCAGTTGTCTAGGCAGTTGGCTGAAAGGTCTCAAGGACAGTTCCCAAGTGATACAATGGTGAATCCAAAGGAGGAATGCAAGTCCATTGTGACAAGGAGTGGAATTGTGATCACTCCTCAAGAAAAGTCGGAATCAGTTCAGCCAAAGAAAGTTGATGAGCCAACACCTGTGCTGGAGCATGAAAAAGAAGAACCTACAAGGAAAGACAAAGAAGAAGCAAAGGAGAAAGCTGTGGAAGCTCCAAAGAAACTGATGGATTATTCTCGTTTTGAGAAACCTCCTTATCCCATGAAGCTCAAACAACAGGCACATAAGCAACAATATGCCAGGTTCTTAGAAATGTTTAAAAAGCTGCAAATAATATTCCTTTTGCTGAGGCTTTAGCTAACATGCCTAATTATGCTAAATTCATGAAAGATTTATTGTCTAGAAAGTATAAGTTGCAGGATTGCGAGACAGTAGCACTTACTGAAGAGTGCAGTGTCATCATACAGAAGAAGTTCCCACCAAAGCTTCAAGATCCTGGGAGTTTCAACATCCCGATTGCGGTAGGTAACACTAATATTGGTCGGGCACTATGTGATCTTGGAGCAAGTATCAACTTGATGCCATTGTCAATATGCAACTCATTAGGAATTACTGAGTTGAAGCCAACCATGGTCTCTCTTCAGCTTGCTGACCGTTCTTTGAGGAGACCTAATGGAATCATAGAAGATGTTCTTGTTAAAGTTGACAAGTTCATTTTCCCGGCTGATTTCATCGTGCTAGACATGGAGGAAGAGGGTGAAATGCCCCTTCTGTTGGGTAGACCGTTCTTGGCCACAGCTCGAGCTATGATTGATGTAGAACAAGGAAAGCTCGAGTTGAGGATGAATGATAAGAAAATCACTATCAATGTTTTCGATGCTATGAAGAACTCATCTGACCACAGTGATTGCTTCAGACTTGATGTGGTTGAGGAAGCAGTCAAAGAGGTGGTTATGGAAGAGAAAAGTGAGCTTCAAGAGCTTGAAGAAGAGTTGAAGGCTCTAGATGAAGCTGCTCCAGAAGAAGAGCGAGAAATTGTCTTTGAGGTACTAGAAAAGAAAGAAGATGACTCAGCTACATTAGTACCAAAGGTGGAATTAGAAGAGTTGCCTGAAACTCTTAAGTATGCTTTCTTTGGAGACGAAGAACAATATCCTGTTATCATCAATAAGGAAGTCCATCAGCAGCATAAAGAAAGCAAGCCAAAGGTTAAGATGGAAAAGCCCAAGAGTAAAGAAAAGCATGTGAAGACTAAGTTCAAAGTTCCTGAGAACCCTCATCCTTATCCACATGCATATGATCATAAAAGGAAACAATACTGGATCAAGAAGATTGGGTCATCAATGGTAGCATGCTTCCAACCACCATAAATAAAGAGGTACGTCAGGCTCGTGACGTTAAACAAGCGCTTCTTAGGAGGCAACCCAAGAGTATTGAGTCTTTTATTTTATCTTTTGTTATTTGTTATTTTGATTATGTTTTTACATTTCCATTTTGTGTTGCCACAATTGAGATATTATGATGTTTAGTTTCCTTCCCATTATGATGAATTGATGCTTTAACCCGTGTGAGTGTGTACATGCGCATAAATTCTTATTCTTCCACTAGTTTAGTTTTATTGCTGAGAACAATAATTTTCTAAATCTGGAAATTGGCACCCCACACGTGGCACAGAGGAACCAGACTGAAACACCTCTAACAGAATGTTTTCTGAATCATCAGGGGAGATATCTGAACCCTTTTGTCTCAATTTGCTGTTTTTATTTTGTTTTTGTTTTGTGTGACAAAAGAAGAAGCTCTTTGAATAACATGCGCTCTTTGAATAACATGCCTGAATTTCCATTTGCTACTCATGCAATAAGATGATTAAATCTTAAAGAGCATATAAGATACTGTGTGAGAAGTCATAATGGATAAATGTTTTGAGAAATGCATTGAAGTATAAGAGTTGTTATTGCTTGTTTGATTGAATTCTTTGTTGAGAGTTACAGTTGATATGTGATGATAATGGAATTTAGATTCTAGTTTGATTGCCCAGCCGTGAGGTTTGAGCCTATACAGTATTTTTTTTTTAGAGAGGCCTCACTGTGATAATACTCTAGAACTTGATCTGTTTCTCTGTAATACATGCATGATCTGAAATGATAAAGGCAATTCTTTCTTGATAACTCATTGGCCAAATAACTGAACCGAAAATTATTATTCCATTTCTAGCCCATTTGAGCTTTAGCCTGTTGTTTCCTGTTGAATTTAACCTTAAGAATCGTAGCTTATTTTCCTATCCACACACCTTTGATGAGATTGAAGCACTGCTTATAGATATTCAAGGAAACTTTTACCGAAATAAAGTGATAGTGAAAGCAAAAGCTGAGACCAAAGAGAAAAGAAACAAAATGAAAAGTTGCAAAGCAACAGCAAAACATGAAAAGGTTAAGATGAAAGAGGAAAAGGATGAATAGAAAGGAAAAGACTAAGTGAAATTGTGTCTGAGTATGAACAACTGAAAATAAATAGTTGTGTTTCAATCTCATATACAGTAAAAAGTAGCCACTTTCCCAAATATTCCTACCTTAGCCTAAGCCAAGTTACAATCCTGTAAAGACCTTTGGATCTAATTGTGCATGTTTTACATGTTCCTTATCTTTAGGAACTTGAGAATAGGATCAAGCTTATGGTAGTCTTATTGCACTGATGAATTGAGAGTTAAATCCAATACACAAGAGTGACAAGTGCAATGATTATCCTGGTAAGAAGTGATCAAACTAGATTCTAATTCCTTACACCAAAAGTGATTCCTGAAAAATTCTCAACTTGGAATTCACTCATGCATAGCATTATAACTCTAAATCTCTTCAATGTAGAAAATTGCATTAGTGACATAAATTCTTCTCACAGAGTTAATCCTTGTTGCCTGATGTTTGATCTTATTTATTGCTGGGGATAACAACATCTAAATCTGGAAATTGTTTGATATGCGTTTAACATATGGTGATTCCTAAGTAAAAGAAGCAAAGAATTAATCATAAATGTGTGAAAATAAGCTCATAAATACAAGAAATATTGATTATTCCTTCTCAATCATTCTCTCACTCAATTTATGCATTTTGATAGCAGGAAACACCAAAAAGAAGTGAAAGAGAGAAGTTGAAATGGCACTGATCGCGCGGGCGTCATGAATGCAGTCCTTGAATTGTGGAGTCGCGAATTTGGAACTGATCACGCGGGCGTCATGAATGCATTCCTTGATTGGTGGAATTATGAGAAAAATGGAAATTTAATCAGAATTAATTAGAGGATTATGACCTGATTGATTGGTGGAATTATGAGGAAAATGGAAATTTAATCAGAATCAATTCAAGGATTATGACCTGATTGAGTTGCTGGCTATATAAAGGAAGCAGAAACTCTAAAAGAAAATCATCTTTTGGCAAGGAGAAATTGGAGAGGAAGCTCTCGGTGACTGAAGATTCAAGATTTCTTCTTCTTCTTCCGGTTTTACATTTTCATGAACTCTTTCTCATTATTTAAATTGTCAAACATGAATATGTCTGGCTAGTCTTTTATTATTGTGGTAAGGGTCACAACCCTTGATGTGAACCCCTTGTAGTTTGGTTAATTTTTATATTTAATTATTTCAATTGCATTTATTTTACCTTGTTCTTCATCTTCTAATTCTTCATCTTCTAATTCTTCTAGAACTGATCACTCTATTAGGATTGCGAGGGTTAGGGTTTTCAATAAGAATATTGGGATTCTAATTCCTGACAAAGGGTAAAATAACAGTTCATGTATGCACTAGGGATAGGCTACATGAACTGCAAACGTGGAAAATTCACTGGGTTAAAGGATTAACTTGAAAAAGAATTTCTAAGGGATTAGGATTCTAATAGGGTTAATAAAGTTAAGATCACTAAGAGATTAGGGCTTAACTAATTAATTATTAGATGGTGAATTGTTTGATCAATTGGGTAATTAAATATAAACATTAATCAATATTACAAGGTGGGGATCGAAAAGGTGTTGGAGTCCTTTACTGCAATAGCTTTTCACAATATTTTTCTCAAAAACCTTTTATTTTAAATTCTTCAAATTTCTCTCTGAATTGTTCATAAAGTATTGAATAGTTCACAATTGTTACAAACACCATTACTTTCAAACCAACTCTTGTTCATCCATTCTTAAAAGGAACAATTAATTGATATTCGACCCAATTCCTGTGGAGACGATACTTTACTTACTATTATATTACTTGTGCGATCGGTACACTTGCCGATTTTTCGCAACAGTTGGCAAGGCATAAAAAGTCGCAACCTCTTTTTGCTGTTGTATGTGTTTCAAATATCTTGATGGTTTCTATCGGAGGTTCATTGATAGATTCTAAACGCCTGTAGCAAGGGAACACTATTAAAAGTATTTAAAAGAAACAAGTAATGGAATCTCTAAAAGTTGCCAAGTATAAAGGGAAAGGGCAAGCTCTAGTGGACAAAGCTCCCTGATTTTATCAGGTTAGGAACGAGGGTCGATTGTATGCGTCCTTACTCTCACATTTTTAGAAAGAAGTTGTTTCCTAGATTCCAACTTGTGATCTCTTGTTACAAAAGAGGAACTTTACCAATATTCCAAGGCTCACCCTCTAAAATCTGCCAAGTATATAAGAAAAAAAATTGCATCTGGTAAATTGTCTATATCTTGAAGCAATTATTCAAGATAAAATTATGTGCACTTCTATTTACAAGCTACCTTTTACCAAGGAACTGTATTTTCAAAACATAAACAGAAAATTAATTCTGAGAAAATTAAAAGAACAACAAAGCCATATGAAGAGTGGAAATAAATTCATGTAGAATAATACGTGACTCGAAGACAAGAAAGGGCCAATACGGCTTCCAAGTTCCAAGAATTGGGAGGCTAAAGTTATGTTTGAACATAAGGCCTGACAATCGTAGTTGAATAAAAATAATGAATAAGCTTTCTGCAGTCTCAAAACATATTTTGGAACAATCTACTGACTAAGCATAAACGGAACTTAAATTATTCAGTAACCTACTACATCCTTCTTTTCTTCCCCCAAAACCAAGAGCCTATATCTACCATAAGAAATATAAGAGTAAGACTGAACAAAAAAAAGGGGTAAAGTTTCAATAAATTAGTGCCGTGAGATGTTATTTTACAACAGAATTACCAACACATTTTTTCTGACGTTAGAATCATCAGAAGACCCACTAGCAGCAGAAATCCTTTTTAGCCTCATTTCAGACTTTCTTAGAATAGTTGTAATCTCTCAGGTGGGGTTTAAATTAGATGTTCATCTTCTTTGCCGTCCCCAAAGGAGGGCAATAAATAAAGCCTTCACACGAGCTTTGACTAGCTCAGACATTTTGTCCGAGCTTGTTGTATATTTGTACCAATTTCTTCGAAATCATCCATCTAAGGTGGTGGCAAACCTACACTAAATGCATCTCTAACACAACAAGGCACAATATAAGATGTTTAGACAGATGATAGAGCTCACAATTTTAGAGGATAACTTCTATAGTGTTCAAACTTGGACTAAATGACTAATGGCTTAAGACTTAAGTCAGGCAGAACGACAAATGAACTATATAAAGCAGTACCTTGAAGCATATTGAATGATTAACGGGTGGATGAGGAACTTTTTATTGCAATTGTGCCTTCAATATGATGTAATAGCCATGATTGGAAGTAGAATCTCATAAATAATATGATGTATTTTGTTGAGTAATGTGAGTAGTATACTTGTTGGAAGGGGATGTTGTTAATGTTAAGTTAAATTTTCCCTCTAAATTGGAATATGGAAAAAGTATGTAGATGATTCAACATGCAAAAACGTGCTTATTGATTTGGAATGAAGTGGAATCCCATGATGTTATGCATATGGTGTGTTTTGTTGGGAAGGAGAACTATAGTTGTTAAGGTAATTTGTCTTTAAGATAGAAAATGGAAATTTGAGGTAGATAATTCATAATGTAACTTTGTGTCAGTTGTTATGAAATACATGGTGGAATTTTAGGAGGTCCATGCTTACCTCGTGCTTTGTTTGACACTTGAATTGAACTAAAAATGACATGCCTTTTATGTGTTTGCTTGTGCCAAATTGAGAGCATTGCATGTGCTAAATCTGGGTGTGGTGAAGATGAGTTATGTGGTATGAGATTAGTTAAACCACTGTTATGTGCAGGGGTAAATTCTTCAGTGAATAATACCATTCTGTTTTCTGAGGGGATGTTCTTCTATGGTTGAATTACTCTATCTTTCTTTTCAGGACCTAGTACTATGGCCCCCAAAAAGCACGGTAAGACAACCACAAGAAGCTCCAATGCTTCTGCAATTGATACCAACCTCTTCCAAACAGCCGAACATGCTGAGAGATACAAAAACCGCATAGTTTCTCCACCAAAAATCACCTCTTCGATCGGGGAACGCATTAGATATTTACCTAAACCGGTAAGGTGATGCGGAAGAAAAGCCTAGTTCGAGAAAGGAACAATTCTTCTATACTTCTCTTACAAACACTTCAATTCAATAGACAACCTATTCCTCCCACTACGATGGCTATGGATTCTTCACTGCTGCTTCCATTTCATTCTCTCCTCAAATCTGAAGCCAATCAACAACCAAGTTTTGCTTACCATGATGTAACAACCACCTCGTAAACTTTTACCCCTAGTAGTACTTGCGGAAACAACCGGGAAGCCCTTCTTTTGAATATCAAATATTTTGGCAAAGAAATTGATTACTGCTTCTACAATTTCTCCTATGGCCAAGACTCTTAACAAAATTAACGCAAATAAGGCTCTGTAGAGGAGATCTTAAGCTAGATGACTGTGCCTGGAAAACTTTGCTGGCCTTCTCCCAAAGTGAAGCTCAGCACACAGTACAGAAATTACATGTTATCAACAACCCTTGTGCTCAACAACCAAACTATATCTTGAGTTGCACCCTAATAAAAACAAAAAGGGACTGTGAAAGCTTAGTTGGTGTAACTGCTTAGATAGTGGAAGGATATCGGTTCGAACCCCACCAATATCAGCATTAAGATAGGCATAAAATCTTAATTTCTGACCTATTGCGCACTCGAATTAGTCCTATAGCTGGTTCAAAAACAAGTTCAAGACCCTCGTAAGGTGAAAAATGCAAATTCAAAATTTGGAAATGCATATGTTAGGAGGGGAAGTCCTTAACTACTTTCAACTCCGAATTAGTCCTAAAGGATGAACCGATTAGTAGAAATCCTAAAAAAAAAAAGGTTTGTTGTTTACTAGTTTTTTTACAAAGGTGTCAAAATTTGATAAAGTCAAGAATGTATTTCTATTGTATAATACATTGATATAAAAGGAAAACAACATTGAAGGGGAATAATTCCATATTCCCTTGAAAAATATAAAAAAGAAGAGTGCCACACTCTTCCTTTTTATATCGATCATTGAAAAATGAAAATTCGATCTCCCGGTAATGTATTGAAAGTTGACAATTGAAACTTTTTTGGTACCAAAAAACAAAATTGTAAACACAACTCAACACATTGTGAGTCATTGAGTCCACAACTACATGTCCTACATTTTTTTTTTCAACTGCAGACGATTCCTATTGATGGGCCTTTGCTTTTGGGCCAAAATGTGGTTGCTCAATTGTGCATGATGGTACTTGTTGGTGGCATTTATGAAAATAAGACGTTCTGTTAGAGGGGATATGGTAAATGCAGAAGAACAAGAATTCGTGTTGGCTAAGAAACAAGGATCCACAGACCACAACCATGCATAGATACCATCCGAAATTTCTTGCCTCTTTCCTTTCCTCCTTTCACTTCCTCAGTTCCTTGTTCCTTGTTCCTCTTACCCTCTTTTCTCACTCGTGCTAAATAGTATAATACTATACACACTTACACAACCACGACCAACATCATAGAAGAAAGAGAAGAGAGTGCAAAACAGGAAGGAAACAACTTTGTACTTGTTATAGCTGAAAAACACACATATATTGTATAATATAATTCAATGGAAGACGAGGCTTTCAGCTTTGGCTTCTCAAATGCTTCAACAAGTTACCAATCGAGGGTCAAGTCCCACTTCGGTGATACCTTTGTTCTCGTTTTCTGTGTTTTTGTTTTTTTGGTCACGTGTTAAAAGAAAAAAGAAAAAAAATTCTTTTCTTTTCTGGGTCTTGTCTTAGCTAAATGTTTCACTCTTTTCGTTTGGTTGTTTAAGCAGAGCTCTGCATCGATTTTGATGATGTCGATGGAGATGATGAGTTAAAAACGGGTTATCCATGCCCGTTCTGTGCAGAGGATTTTGATCTGTTGGAGCTGTGGTGTCATATTGACTTGGAGCATCAAAATGAAGCCAAGTCCGGGGTATTTCTCTCCCACTTGATTAGCTTTCATTGTGTAGCTATATTTCTCTCTTTTTATTTTATGTTAGCACATCCATTAGACTTAGAGGGTCTACTCTTTTCCCAGTACCATTTTCTCCATTCCCAGGAACTTGAGACTTTTGATTAAGGGAAATAAGCTCCTTACCATTGTTGGTTGATCCCAACTGTTTTAAATTTATTTCTTGACTAATATTTTGTTTGCCGTCTACATGTGGGATATTTGGTGGTTTCACCAAACGGAAAAAAAATAAAATGTTTGTCCTTATGATTGACCACTCATGTAGTTCTATGAAGTTATGATTTTCTTTTTGGATTTTTTTTCTATATTTACTTGCATCTATGAGTAAGCCCTGAAAAAGGACTCAATAATAAAATGATGTGGTGCCTTTCAATATCTTGGCTTGTGGAACCTCAAGCGGTCACTCTGATATGAATCTAATTAGCCATCTACCTAAGACTGGTAAGGAATGAGGGACAAGTTGATATTGTTACTAATGTTGATCGACTGTGACTAAGTGCTATTTAAGCTGTTGTTAATCATCTTCTCATTTGGTGTGTTATCTATACTTGTTGAATTACATTCACTTATGTAATTTTACTTGTATTTGCAGATTTGTCCTGTTTGTGCTTTGCGGGTGGGGATGTATATTGTTGAGCACATGACAGCAAAACACGGAAACATATTTAAGATATCCTTTCTGAGCTGGTTGATTGAAATGCTTTTATTTGTTCAAAATAAATACTCGTATTTCTTTTCCTCATTTCCCTTTTTATGAAAGTTATTAGCCGTTCTTTCTTTTTTCTTACCGTTCTTGTTCTTCTTTGTCCTCCTTTGAGTTTTGCTACTAATTCCTTGACTGAAGATTACAGCCATCACAAATCAAGACGCTGCAAGTTTGAGTCCTATCCAACTCTTTCCGAAAAGGATCTACAGGATGGATGCTGGCAATCTTTTCCTGCTGGTTCATCTCATGTGATTTCTTCCTCCAAGACAACACGTGATCCATTTCTGTCATTTTTATATAGTGCAGCTTCTGCTGATGAACGTGAAAATGTGCAGCCGGATTCTTCAAGTGAAATTAGCTTAGAAGAAATACACTCAGATGAAGCAGATGATAGTGCGTTAGAAAGGTATAATGAATTATCACTCTGTCAACTTTGTGTTATACCACATTCCTCACGTATTATCAATAGTCAACTAACCACTTAGGAACAAAATATTCATCTCCATGCATGTATGTTGCTTAATTATCGGTTTTGCTTTTTTGAAAGCAAAATTGGTTTTGAGATCAACAAGTGATTATTAAGTGATTGATAATATACCAAAACCTTGACTTTCAAAGACCACCTATCACATTGTGAAGCAGTAATCTAGACAAATTGGAAACGGGCACTTCACCTGAAATCATAAAAGGTCCTCTAATACAGTAAGATGTGATTATTTCTATAGATTGTTAAAGTAATTAATACAGTTAACTGTGTAGCTTTCACAGTAGTGATGATGATAATATACTGATGAGGAAAGAATTGAAGGGTATTCTTCTGGATGCTGAGCTCCATCTAGTATATGTCAGGCAAATGATAATTTGAGCCAAAGCAAACTTAGCTGTATATGCTAGTCCCAACAAAATATTTGGGGGTTTCAAGGTTCTTTTTCCATTGTTTGTTTCTTCAAATTTGAAGAGGGGGGCAAATGAAAGAAGAGGGATTTTAATGTGAACTTCAGTATCTTCCTGTTTATTGGATGTCCTGTTTAATGTCAACATATTTTTTTCTTAAGATACTTAATTTACAGAACTACATTTATCTTTTTTTTGGATGTGTCCTAATATTTCTAATGATTGCAGAGATGTCCAGCCATGTTTATCTAACAAAGATCAAATAGAGAGCGCTCGGCGTAGTGAATTTGTACGGGGACTTTTTATGTCTACTATCCTTGATCCTGATTTCTGAATGAGACAATTGCCAACATTGATTGTTATTTTCAAATTTATTGAAAGGAAAGGAATTGGAGACAAAAAGATGGTAGATTAATCTCGAAAATGATCCTATGATTAATATTTCTGTCGTACACAGTGTGATGCCTGTTGTATAGAGTCACAGAGAGCTATGTAACCTATGTTAGATGTAGGAGTTAAATGTAGTGTATATCTTAATGCAACGAAAATATTTGTTCAAAACAACTTACATATATAGTGTTTCACTTGACTAATGGATGAAAAAAAAGGAGTAAATTCATATACATTTCTGTCATATTGTTGTTTAAATCTTCGCTGCAGGTTTTGTTCCAAAGTGGATTTTGAATTCAAACCTTTTACAACATATAATTTTATTAGTTTTTTCTGTGTAGGCATTGTGTTATATAAGTTTAGGGTTATATTTATTTTATGTTGTAGGAAAATGATTATCTAATGTTATAGAAATAAAATTATAAGTGGGATCTACACATAAGAGGAAAGAGAAAAAATAGATGTGGGATTCACTTTCACTTTGTGTGTGTAGTAAACTTGTTTATCTTATGTAACATAAGATAAATATAACTTATTAACTTATTTATCATACTAATTTTATGCATAAAAATGATGGACGGTGTAATCATGTCTTAGGGTGTGAACCAAGCGCTATTAAGGGTGTGTTTGAATGTGTTTTAGTTTTTTTGTTTTTAAAAATTGTTTTGAGAATGAAGTTTGAAAACTGATTTTGAGGGTAAAAAACAATAAAATTTGTTTGAATATAGTTAGTTTTAGAGTGATAAAGAAGATGTAGTTATTTATAAAAATGTCATTAATGAAATCTCATATTTGCAAGATTGACATCGCAAAGTAATTTAAAATAAAAAAAAATCAATTTAATAATGAAAATGTCATTAATGAATCTCCATATTTACAAGAATACCATCGCACAAAACAACTTTGGAAAACATCCTGGAGTTGTTTTGCTTTTTCGGTTTCTAAAACAAAAAAACAGACACGGTTTGTTTTTTCTTCGAAATATTCCAATCGGTTCATTGCTTCGCAATTAATTCGATTCGGGGCGGGTCCAGGATTAAGGCTTTAAATCCCTCTCAAAGGTAGTACTGGGGAGATTCAAACACATGTTTTTACTCTCACCTACTTAGCTCACATACGCCAACTGAGCTACATCATTTGATCAGACACCAATTTTTAAAACAAATAGATGAAAATAGTCTTTTCAATCAAGTTTTTTTGTTTTATTGTTTTTAAAATTTAAAAACTGTTCTTGAAAATAGAAATCAATCAGAGCCTAAGTTTTAATGTATAAGTGCATTAAAAATATATAATTACAGCCCTGAAAACTTTTCTATTCTAAATTGTAGGCTATAAGCACTGGCGGACGCACGTCTACGCACATGTTCGCAAGTGCGTACATGAAATTTTCATTTTAGTTTTTTTTTTTAGGTTCTTATTTATCTTTTGGTTCAATATTTATATTAAGAGTAAATACTCTTTTAAGTCCCTAACAAAAATATGGTTCCTGCTTTAATCCCTTTTATAAAAAAAATTAGTCTCGAGTTCCCTGAGAAATTCAAAGTGGATCAATTTAGTTAAAGTCGTGGTCCTTCACAAATTCAAAAAAGATCCATATTAGTCCCTCAAAAAGACTTAAATGGGTCCACTTTGATTTTCATAGTGACCAGGTGACTAATTTTTTTTTGTAATGGACGAAACTGGGGATCAAAATTTTTGTTAGGGACCAAAAATGATATATATTTTTATATTAGTTAGCAACGTATAGAGATGATTAAAACAACGTAGCAACACAAATTGATTAAAGAGAAAACTTATTCTTCTTGCCATGTCAGGTACTCATTCTTATGTTCTCTTCATCCTTTGTTTCCTTTTTCATTTTTATAAAAAAAGAATATTGATTGCAGTTCTGACATTCTGAAATAAGTTAATCTCTATAGACGAGGTATGTGATTTTGTTTGCCTTATGTATAGATAGTGTTGACTTTTTTATTGACCACTATAAAATAAAATGATGATGATGTATGGATGTACTGAAGTATATTCTCATATTTATTTTGGAGGATTGGTAAGATTTAGGGAAGAAAATGATTGGTCAAACTATTATCTGCAGCTTGTTGTGGAAGCAACTAGATTATAAGCGGAAGCGTTAATTTAAACTTTCTTTACAAAAAAATTTTTTTGGAGGCGCTGCCCCCGAACCCCTGTCACTAAATGTGCGGACATAAAGAAAATTTTCTGAGTCCGCCACTGGCTATAAGTAGGGGATGAAGAGCCCCTGTATAATCTCTAAATTTGTCGCTAGCTATTGAATTTAGGGCCCGTTTAGTAGCATGATTTTTTTTGTTTTTCGGGTTTTCTTGGTTGGGTAAATAAGAATGCATCGTTTGGTACAAGATTTTTAAAATTTTCCCGGGAATCTGATTTTCCCAGGATTTCCTTTTGTGTGTAATTTTTTTTGAAAAAATCATCCAGGAATACAATCCAGAAGGTGGTATTTTAAGATTTCTATGACAAGAGGAAATTTAATAAAACTAAACACAACATCAACAAAATTAACTCAATATTTCCAAGAATATGTTAGTCTACCAAACAATTTTTTAGTAACATTTTCAGAAAACTCATTTTCTCATCATTTTTTCTGGAAATCGTGATTCCCGGATAAAAAAAATTTCTCCTGTACCAAACACTCTTCTTATTGAAATTATGTTAGTATTTGTGGGCATATCTATTTTTATTTATTTAATGAATATACGTAGTAGTCCGAATTTTTCAAAGATGAATATAGTATATTTTAAGTAAACAAATATTTTTGTAAAAATCATTATATCTTTTACAGTGCTATAGTATTATTTTATCCAATATATTATTTTAGGGAGGGATATAGTATTATTTTATCCAATATATTATTTTAGGGAGAATAATTTCTCTCTATATATAAAGAATTATTTATCTCTTACTGACAGCCTCAGAAGCATCGATACGCTTTTTTTTTTAAATTTATGTGTCGGATACTGACACGTGTCCGACACACGTCAACTTTTTCTAACACGCAGTCAAAGCTCCGACAGATTTTTTTTTTTTAGGTTTAAGTTTTATTTTATTAACTACAAATAAAAAATTAATTTATAAATCAACTTTTTTCCGTTATGAAATTTGACATAAAAAATAAACAAGATATACAAATTACTTTGCTTTTTACTTATGTTGTAGAATTTGAATATTTGATTGGTTGTATGACTTATTATGGACTATTATATGAGTTAAACATAAATTATATTATATATATTAAAATATTATTTAATATCAAAATGTGTCCTAACATGTCGAAATATGGTATTTTTTAAAATTAAAGTATCGACGTGTCTTGTCGTGTCATATCTGATGTATCATATCCATGTTGGTGCAGCTGACAGCTCAAAATTCATGCAACACTTTTATTTTTATTTTGTTCTTTTAAAAAAGGGAAATCATTATCTCCTTCCACATGAGATAAGAACTTTTTCCTACACAAATTCGTTTTCCGTGCCAATTAATTTTTCTTTTCTTTTTTAATTTAAAATGTGGGACCCACATTTAACTTATCTCTACTTTTTTCTCTCCTACTATCCTACAACATAAGAAAATATGCACCCTTTAAAAAATGGTGGCCCGTTGATGAAACATTTTCTGCAACAGGATATATATAATTCCCATTATTTTATATGACATCATATCAAATATTGCACCGCCATAAAATTTATCATGCCGCATACAAATACAATAAGGGCCGGACCCAAAGGGGGTTGGACTAAAGTTGACAGTTTTTAAGACAAGAAGAATGCAACTTAAATATATAATATCTACTTCCAAATATTTCTGGATTAGTTATGTTACAAGATCATGTTAGATTTTCCCGTAGTTACATAAACATGCTGGCACAAATCAAGATATAGCTTTCTAAGGTACAATTTCGTCCTCCATTACAAAAATTTATGATTGCCCCGTTACCTTCAATCAGGCTTATAGTATTAGATCTTACACTAATAAATATTATCCTATCCTACTATCAACGGGGCCTTAGGGCATGTGTGATACATAGTATAGTATAAGACCTGATAGTATAAGGTCTGATTGTATAAGACCTGATTGAATTTTAATACTATCTAGCGTTTGGCACGATATTGTATAAAATAATATATTATATAAGATGATATCATCTAGTATTTGGTAATGCATTGTATAATACTATATATGATAAAAATAAATATTTTTAATAAAAATATCCTTATATAGAATTTATATAATTATTCAAAAAATGTCATATGATATTAACTTTTATAAAATTTTATTGATTAGTGTGTCCAAAATATAAATTAATTTTTATAAAAATAAAAATATTTAATATTTTAAAAATTAATATATTGAAAATTAATTTTTATTTTGATAGATTAATATTATAATAATATATTAATTTTTGAGAATTACATTGGTCAACGATGTTAATACATCAAATCTCTTATCAGGCCTTATTCCTCACCCTTAGGCCGGATTAAGTTATACATCGTTTTGATGTATTAAGGGATTATGCTGTATAAGCTCATACTATACGATGGTCACACCAAACAACTGAAAATGTCATAACGTATAGTATAAGCTCATACTATCATGCCTTATACATCACACCAAACCGACCCTTAGAATCATTTTGACAATAGTTAAGTCTCTAATATCAACAACAATATTTTCTATATTTAAAATATAATTAATAACAATGTAAACAATAACATCTATTATTTTATTTCCATTTGTTTTAAAAAAATGTGCATAATAAAATGCATGTTAGCATCTCACCAAATATGTTATGGGGGGCGATGGAGTTTAACTGTGATTAAACCCCGACTTGAGATTAATCTCATAGTCGGCTTAAATAGTTGAAACTTATAGAGATATTCGGAGTCGACTCACCTCATAGACACAATTAGAGTCAGGATAACAAAAAAAAAATGCATGTTAACATTTAGTAGCATTACAAATGCCAATGAAAAAAGCATAACAAAACAAAAAGTAAATATTGAACTTTAAAATATGATAAAAAATTTGCATAAATTAAATTATTTGAATTAAAAGAAAATATTTGAGTAACATGTAGCACTCTGTTTTAGAGAGAGGAGAGGAAGAGAGAGACTTGAGAGATATTAGAAGAGAGGATAGAGAAAATGAAGAAAGATATAATTTGAAAAAAATGTTTGTTTTT